TTGCAACCCTAAGGATTTTTATTCAGATCTAAGTCCCACTGAGTTCAATAGGATTTACGCTCTGGTATGTGCAAGTAGATAAATAGGTACTGCTCCGGCGGGAAGGTAAACGGCGTTTCCGTGCGCTGCTCTGGTTCGCCAGAAGCGGCTTAGTCATGTTGGCCACATGACCCGGAAGCTGTACACCGGCTCGCTCAGCCAATAAAGCAAGATGAGCGCCGCAACCCCAGAGTCGGTCACGACTGGACCTAATGGTCAGGGGTCCCTTTACCTTTACCTATGTTCCTGATTATTCTCAAAGTTTCTTCATTCATTCATTCATTCATTCATTCATTCATTCATTTTATCCCTTTTTTCCTGACAGGGGCTCAAGGCAGCTTACAGCTTCAATTTTATTTCATTCCACTTATCTATGGAAGGTGTTGTACATGATCCTTTCCCTCGCACATTTTTTCTTTACAACAGTCCTGTAGGTCAGGTTCAGTGGAGCAGTAGCGTAGCTAGCCAGGGGGAGGGGGTGGCGGTCTGCACTGGGCACTGGGGGATAGGGTGCCACAGGGGTCTGTACTGCCACACGGTGGCTGCTGTGTGTAGGGGGTTGGGATTCTGGGCTGCAGGGGAGCTTGAGGAATCACGGCAGTTGCTGGGCGTTTCAGGGGGCGGAGCCATTTCCCATCCCTGAAGTTGGTGGCCAGCTGCCATAAAAGAAGCTCAACAATTTAAGATTTCCCAGGCACCGTTGGGGGTTGCTCTGCTGCTGCAGTGGAGAGGCAGTCACTGGCTCAAGGTGACCAATGTAGATGTGTAAATAAAATAATAATAATAATAATAATAATAATAATAATAATAATAATAATAATAATTTATTATTTATACCCCGCCCATCTGGCCGGGCCTCCCCAGCCACTCTGGGCGGCTTCCAACAAAATATTAAAATACAGTAATGCATCAAACATTAAAAGCTTCCCTAAACAGGGCTGCCTTCAGATGTCTTCTAAAAGTCTGGTAGTTGTTGTTCTCTTTGGTGGGAGCGCGTTCCACAGGGCAGGTGCCACTACCAAAATGGCCCTCTGCCTGGTTTCCTGTAACTTGGCTTCTCGCAGTGAGGGAACCACCAGAAGGCCCTCGGCACTGGACCTCAGTGTCCAGGTAGAATGATGGGGGGTGGAGACACTCCTTCAGGCCGTTTAGGGCTTTAAAGGTCAGCACCAACACTTTGAATTGTGCTCGGAAACCTACTGTATATGTATATGACATGGATGTGTGTGGTGAGATCAAATGTGGGAGAAGCTCCCTGATGTGGAAGAGAATGTCCCTATTTCATCAAAGAAAAGTTGGAAGGTATGCATATGGGAGTAATTTCCTTTGACTTGTTCCCACCCCACTCCAGTAACATGCTGGAGCCTAATGTCCTGCAGCGCAAATGGGACTTGCACGTTGTGGTGGTCCTTCCCAAGTCATTCCTCCATTACTACGTTGACATGGGAAGCAGCTACAGAGAAGTTCCTCCACACCTACCTTACTGCTGAGAAGTGTGAATCGGCCCCGTATTCTGCAACATTTAAAGAATTGCTCACACAAAAGTTGCATTTCCTTCTTAGGCCTCAGAAGAGTGCGGTTGTGGAGGTGAGCCAAATCTATGCTGAATCCCATCAAGAGCGAGACCAACCTTTATGATCCTTGCAAAGCTCTGGCTTTTAGTAATGTCAGTATGGGGAATTTGAAACCTCAGTGGTGGAACAGCAGCCAAATATGTGAATATGGGTCTCCAGTACATCTGCCCACCAAAGCAAGCCAATTTCATGAGAAATAAACACAAGACCTTCAACCATGTGGAATTTATATCATGACAGTAGATGTGTCGTTCAGTAATTACCAGGCACTGGACTAAGAACCAGCACATTTATCAGGTGCTTAAAATATATAAGTTTAGAACATGAGCGATTATACTGGTTGTAAATTTTATAGCAACAGTGTAAAAATGTTGCTTTTTTTCCTCCGGCTCAAAAATCTGTTGCCACAGATCTAAAATGCAGCATTCTTGGGCCCAAACAAACAGAAACTCAAATTCATTTTTTGCTCTCAGTTTGGAAGATAGGAAGCTTGTTTTGAATATTTGGCATTAGCTTTACCTGATAGAAAATCCATAAATTGAAAAACTCTCTGTCAGAACTCAAAATCAAATTACCCACGTTATTCAAGCAAAAGAAAGAACACACACAAATAAGCCCTTGATCAATACCATTCCATAGTAACAAAGGAATTAGATAAACCATGGCAGATTAGAATTTACAGAGCACTGCCGAGGTGATTAACAGAGGTGTTAACATAGGAGATTTCTTACCAGACTGTGACTGCGGGAAGTGTTTGAAAAATGAAAGAAATGCTAGCTTCAGAATTATAAATGAAACAGAATAGATGGGAATAAGCCTTTAGCAAGCAAGTGCATATAAAACACTTAGTTTAAATTTTTAAACATGAAACATTGAAATTTTTTTTAAGCAGGATTATTGTGGGTCAGAATCTCAAGGCTGAAAACACTGCTATATTTTGAACTGTGTGCTCACTAGAGCTTTGTAACATCCCTGTGCCATAGATATTATCACCAGTTGATGTTTTCAGTACTAAAAAAGGGCTGTAGAATAAGTCCATGGGAGACGTGAAATTGAACCCAAATCTCCCAGATTCAAGCATAAACATATTGAACTACACTGGAACTGAGCATTTAACATTATTTTTAGCTTTATATATAGATGATATCACCCATCTAGTCACTCTAGAAAACTTAATAATGACCTCAAGCAAAATCAATTGAGAGAAGCAACATTGTTTTGGTTTTCTTGTGGAGTCCCCATTCAGACTCATGTTACGCTCTATCCAACTTTGTCTATTGTTCTCCCAGGCATTCATTTGTTCCTTAATCATACATACTTCATTTTTCCAGAACTGAAGACATGCTTCTTCCCTAAAATACAGAATTTATGCAATTACATCCATGAACCAGATAATGTTGGACCTCAACTCCTTTCTCCCCAGCTGGCACAACCAGTAATGATTACATCTGCTGTAATTGTTATTTGTGTTGGGGACAATAAAGAATATGGGTGAGAACTCTTTCTGCTATGTTATATTCAGTCCTATAAAGTGAGATGCAGCTTAGAGTTTGCTGAAGAGCAACGACTATATCATAATGTAGCCTGCGATGAACAGTTAATTATCCCTTTTGTTCAGGAAGAAACAGACTCAGAAACTAATGTCACAGTAGCATCTAGTCCATATTGCATACCTTATCCTTGGCAAAACAAATAAACACAACTAATTTGTACAGAGATTTTATCATTCTTAAAATAAATTTTAAAAATCATCATATATATTTTTTATAACCACCCTACTTCTTTTCAAAATTCTCAGTCCTCTTTCCAAAAGTAGACACCACTGGAAGATTTCCAGAACTCCTAATGCTCATAATGGTGTGATCAGCCCCCAACACTTGCCTTCCAAAGGAAATGATTCATTTATTACGGCTGTAATTATAGGCAATGAAACAGCTGGCTATGGGGTCTTTTGCCAGACCTAAGCTACTTCCCAACATCTGTTCTTTTGAGGAAGAGCAGGGCATTGACTCATAAGATGGAAAACAGGAGTTTCTCTATTACAAAACACAACAGTGAAGAGCTGAAATAATTTTTCAACCCATTGTCCTTAAAACTCCGAAGGGGAAAAGGACCCCTTTCCCAAGCAACTTAAGATGCTAAATTTACTGTTTATGCTCCAGAATAGATTGGCTGGCATTAGCATTCAGGTACCAATGCAGCATCTCTGATGCCAAGTTAATGTGCTCCGGAATAAGTGGTCTTCAGACATGAAGAGGTCAAATCTATTTGAGTGCAGGACAGCATAATGACCATGGAGTACAGTGGTGCTCTTGTAGAAAGAAGCAGTTTTGCTGTCTCTTCCCAACTCCACGTTAACAGAGAGAAAACATTTCATAGATCACCCCGTCTGGAAAACAGAACCATTCAACACCTTGCATATCTGAAGGGGAATACGATCTGTTATTACTGGATGGTTCTTTCCCCATGGACTTCATCAGTAGAGTACTAAGTTTGTTTGTTTGTTTGTTTGTTTGCTTTTGTTTGTTTGTTTGTTTGTTTGTTTGTTTGTTTTTAAAGGGGTTTGATTCCCCTGACTCACAGATGCTAGGACAGATCTGCTGTCAGCATGGCTAATGGCCAGGGCTGATGGGAGTTATAGTCCAACAATATCTGGAGGGCACAATGGTGCCTACCCTGATCTGTATTGTCACAGCAGACTCTTTTAGACTTAACTCTCCAGCACATAGGAGGAGCCAACTCCTAGGGGCCGAGGGGTCTTTGGCCCCTCAATAAAATATTTGAGGGGGCTGGGACCCCATAGTTGATTCAAATGGTGTCTGTGCACTGCATCATGTGATCAATTATGCAGGACAGGGCTTACTTAACACACACAGAAACACAAAATATTTTATTCAAGTTGGCACCCCTTGCTCCAGTAATATTTTTCCCAAAAAAGGGGGTCCTTCTGTTTGTTTGTTTTTAAATGATATTTATTAAAGTTTCAGAAAAGGTTACAAAAATAAGAAAAAGAGAAAAAGAAAAAAGAAAATACAAAATACAGAAAAATAAAAACAATTTAGAACAAATCAATCTTTCCATGTCTTGTCTTTCATTTACTTGTTTCCCTGACCTCCTCACACCTCCCTTTTTTGTATTCCGGTTCAGTTAGTTATTTCAGCAAATCCTCTTTGTTTTTATCTTAATCCTTTATCTTAATATATTATAACTTTAGATTCTCACCTGTTAGCAATCCATTTTTACATACTCCTTTGTAACATTGCTGCTAAAACCACTTAACTTCATTCCGACATCATTCTAACATTCATTAATTTTGCAGTATTTCTTTAGTCTTTAAATTTTTTCCAATCTTCTTCCACCGACTCTTCTCCCTGGTCTCGGATTCTGCCAGTCATTTCCGCCAGTTCCATATAGTCCATCACCTTCATCTGCCATTCTTCCAGGGTGGGTAGATCTTGTGTCAAAAGGGGGTCCTTCTGTGCTAGACACTTCAATAATCAAGAAGATACTAAGATCATCTCTCGATATGCAGCTCAAAGGTGACACTCATCCAGTATGTGTTGCTACTTGGCAGGTGGATACCTCAAATAAAGAGAGCTCGTTCTGTTAAAATTAATGTTATCTGTTGGTGTGAAAAAAGGGCCACATCTAACAGTTATGCAGAATTAACAACCCTCCCTATAATTATCTCCTGTGGAAGATGTCGTGTTGTTAAACCCTTCCCCCAAATCCATGCCACTAGCAGTGACCAAGGAAGCAGGGCTGAAGTATCTTCTTGCTTCATTTTTAATTTAGTTACTACCTGTCAGGGGCTGGAAGGAGGAGGAATGGTGGAAGAGGGAGACAGTATAGATTTACAGCAGTGGTTTGCAGAAGGTCACAGCTCAGAGGCTGCAGAGGGGAGAAGCTGAGGAAATATTGGGAGAGGAGAAGGGGAGAAGCAGCACCAGGGGAGAGACAGATGACAGACTCAGTGTCTTTGGAAAGCATGCCAGACCCCCCCCCCAGGTCCCGGTGGACATTGAGGGTAGTAGAACAGAAAGCTCAGAGGCAGAAAGCACAGGTTAGCTGACATAGGAATGACGTTTAATCGGAGAGATGGAGGGGGTAGGACTTTACTCAGAGAAATGCCATTATCTAAAAGGTAACATCCTACGTCTCTCTCTGTGAATATTGAACAAAATATCTTGGTAAGAACTTCTTGTTTTCCCATTTCTGGCAGCCAGCCGTGAGGGAGGGGGATCAGATTCCCTGAAGCCTGACACTACTGTAGATGTCACCGTCATTTGACTCAAAATAACCCACGCCATATTTTTTCCTGGCGTTTCTGTTGCCACTCCAGCTATGAATACCAACTAAAATTGTAAAATGAAGTCAGGCAAAGTAGGGAGAAATCGAAGTGCTAACAGGAGGCAGCTGCAAGGAACAATAAAGAGCCTGTCAGAGTGATTTTGTTCATTGGATGAAATTACCTGGCCTGAGCTCTTGAGCAGAGCAGAGCAGATGTTGCCGGACTCCCTAACCATTGTGCAGGCTGGCTGTGGGGACATGGAGTCCAAGACATCTGGAAAGCTACAGGTTCCCCAGCTGTGGAGTAAAGTATACTATAAATAAGAGGGGCGGAAATACCTTCAGCTCAAATGCCGCATTATTTTACAGGATACCTTCCATGCCAGGAGTGGGTGGGGCCAGAGGCAAAAGTGGGTGGGGCAACAGAATTTACTTTTACCATTGGACAGTAGGCTACATTCCAGCCACACAAAAACGACATCCCAATAAGCAAAAGGCATTCATCATAGTTTGAGAATACATTCCAGACAAGCAAAGACACTCAAGGAGTGTGCAGAGCCAGGCTGGTGAGTGGCGTGGCCTGAGGAAAAGGCATGGCTAGGACCAGAGAGAGAAAGCCCTGGAGGGACACATTTTGGTTCCTCATCCCAGCTATAAATATAAACATAAATCGTAAAACGTTGTCAGCCAAAGCATGGAGAAATCAAAGAGTAAATAGGAGGCAAATGCTGACTGAACTTGGTAGGATAGAAATCACACAACAGCAGATTGATGCTTCCCAGTCACTTTAATAAAATAATCCATATTCCAGATCTCTTTCAGCATAAAATATTTATCCGACATAAAAGAGAGCAATTGTATTCACTAAAGGTAATTTAGAACCTGCATTCCTCCATTTACTGTTGTGTCACTGCATGTTGTGTGTCCTGCAATTAGCTGATATCCCACAACCACAAAAGCCTTTCAGAAAACATGACAAGGTCTAACCTTTCAAAACACATCTAAAGCACACAATAGAGGGGGAACAAAGTCACTGGAATTAATTGAGCTGTAAGTGCAATATGAAAGAACAAATTAAAAACGGCGATAACATTGTTAGGAGTAATTAAACCAATGTCAGTGAAAAATGAAAAGAAGTCAGAGAACGTAATAAGGACGTGTGGCAATTTGGGAGGTATTGTTTTCGAATGTATTGTATTTCTCTTCGTGTTTTATGCTAGCAGATTATCAAACAGCATTCCAGATGCAGGATCTGTAAGAGAAACGCTATTCCCAAAACTATCCCTAGCTTCTTGAGCTGTTCAAATGAACATATACAGAAAGGAGCAGGAACATAATCAACTGGATTCATGGTTGTGTTCAATAAGCATGGTCTGTGATGAGATCGATGGAGCCTGCCTGTGGATGGTTTGGATGCCTGTAGGCTTGTTCAGACCTTCTCCTGAAGGCATGGATGTGGTGGGGGCAGATTGAGCGTCCACAGCCCCGTCCCACAAGGTCTAAATCATAGGTAGGCAAACTAAGGCCCGGGGGCCGGATCCAGCCCAATCGCCTTCTAAATCCGGCCTGCAGACGGTCCGGGAATCAGCGTGTTTTTACATGAGTAGAATGTGTGCTTTTATTTAAAATGCATCTCTGGGTTATTTGTGGGGCATGGGAATTCATTCTTCTGTTTTTCAAAATATAGTCCGGCCCCCCACAAGGTCTGAGGGACAGTGGACCGGCCCCCTGTTGAAAAGTTTGCCAACCCCTGGTCTAAACAGTCCTTTAGCCTTCTAGGAAAGGGTTAATTGATAGGTGAAAAGGCTGAGATTATGCTTCTGTGAACTTTGTTTTTAAGTGTAAACTAAAAATGTAGGGAGTAATTTGTTTGCCGAATTAGACTGAAGAACAAGGTTCACTTTTCACCCACCCACAAAACAGTGGATGTTATCGCAATTTCTTGGAGACATTTGCTTGCATAGCAATGATGACTATTTTTTAAATCCTGGTGTTACTGAATTTTGCGTGTGTGTACTTTTATATTTTTTTATTATTATTAACACACACCCATGAGAGGGGGAGGGGGAGGGAGGGGTAGATAAAAATGAGTCTACTTCAGAAGAAAAAAAATTGTTTAGCTGGGGAAGCCCATAAAAAATCAAGGCACTGGATTCATGTACTCAACTAGTTCTGATAAAGAAAGTGAATGACACCAATTGAGTCTTATAAAAGTAAAATGACATCAGAGTTGCCTTACTGTTAACCTTGTGCCTAGAATATGCTTTAAGTAATATATATATTTAAATATTTTTGCATTTTCAGAACTAATGACCCACATTTTTAAGATCTTTTATTTAAAAGAATTGGTCCCTTTGCATATTTGGTCATGACTGCAAATTACATGGATCAAAGAAAACTGTCCTTGTGAGCCACATTGGCATTTACGGCTTCTTGTTTTCAATCTGTCAGAAAAAGGGGTTTACATTGGTTTCAGGCTGCACTGATTTTCTTTGTTTCAGTTGCCCACAGTGTCTCATTTTATAACATTTGTGCAAGTTAGTGAATTCTCTCGTGGACATGCATTATACATGTTGCATCTTTCATAAACAGAAAGTAGTGGGGCACTGCTGGACAATGCACTACTAAGACATTAAAACTAATCCTTAGTACAATGCATCTGCCAACATTTTAAAGCCAAAAGTTACTAAAATAGGTGCCTTAATTGCAACCTCAAATTTCTTGCCTGCATTCTGTTCCTCATAATAATCCAAACTGAGGCAGCAAAGGTTGTGCCTGGCTATTAAACTCAGATGGGTGAGGATTAACAAAACTGAACCTTGCTCAGCCAAGGTAACAGTGATGGTAGTCAAAGGATGGGCCCTGTTTGAGTATGGGGCTTGCCGGTGTCCCAAAATCCAGGCAGGATTTTTCAGGTGGCAGATAGCAGTTCTGTGACCAAGCACCTGGACCCTGTGATCCAATTCCAGGGTAATCTCTTTCCGCAACCTGTGAAGGTAAGCTACATTATATGTCCTTTAGCGTGAGAAAAGATTTAGAAAATACCAATTGTGCTTGTTCATATTTGGGCCCAGCAATTAGTGCAATAACAGTACTTCAGCAGATCATATCCTATTCAAAAATAGGTCGTTTTAGGTATTTTCTGAAGATAACAGAATATAAGAGCTCTAACAATGAAATTTCACACTATATTTATTTGATATGATTGTACAAAAAGTTGCATTCTTCCACTATTGCCCGAGGTCAAGAATTATCCCACAAGAGATCCCTTCTCTGTTTTTCTCATAATAGGGTGGAATTAATTAAGTCCATTTAAAAATCCAACCACGAAGGCCGATCTATGGGGAGCGCCTGAGAACTTAGACAGCAGACAGACATGTCACTGCTCCTAAATACGATGAGTAAATTAATGAACAATTTTTTAAGAGCCGCTATATTTTAATAAAGTAATGCACAACCTACTATTGCTCAATTAATGACTTTAGGGACCCATCTGCATCTCATGTTCACTTCTTGTTGATTCAGACAGTAGCTTTCTGAAAAGAAGAAAAAATGCATTCCTTGTCTCGAATGTCATGCATGCTCTACTTGAGATGGCTTTCCCAACTGTTTGCCTGATCCAATCAAATAAGCAAAATGGTTTCTTACTACCAAAGAATCCTGGCCTACAGTAACTCTCACAGTTGATGCTGATACTATCCACTGCTGTACTGCACTTCTGGCCAAACTGTATACATTATGGACAAGAAATCCCATGTATTATACCTAACAACCTCCCCCATCAGCCATTTTGGTTTTATATTGACTTTGCTCTATAATGAGTGGTTTGCCCCATTTTCAGATGGTGGTAACTGTTCATCCAGGTACACTGACATGGGTGCACTTTCATTGTTCTTTCCTTCTCCCAGTGAACTGAATGATGTGGTCTAAACTGCAGGGAACTGGTGTGGAGGCCACGGGACTGGATTCCATGGCTTGGTGGTCCTTTCCAGCTTTATAATTCTTTACAATTTATAATTTTGATCTAATACACACCACATATCACCACAACACATTCACAACTTGGTTCACTATGTGTCTGTCATTACCTTTTTTTATTGAATGGGAATAAAACATTGCCAAAAAAAAAATAAAAATTTTTTTTCTAGCTGAAACTTGGGTCTTAGCCGAGAAGGAATATATTTCTTACAAGCAGACAGCAGCTGTTTTCTTTTGTTATCTTTATCCAAGCTATCAAATTCTGGAATAAACTTACTGAACTTGCTGCTGTAGGGTACAAGGGCACCTGTAAATCATGGCTAATGGAAGATGTTCATAGGGACCTTTCAGCTAAGTTCGAAAAGTGCTTGGGAGAAGGGTGTCCGACTAAGCTTGCAGAAAATATAGTAGTCAAGAGCTGCATTACCAAGAGCCTTGAACTACTGTAACGTGACAACCTTTAACCCCAAATCAGCTTCAAATGCAACTGGTTTTTATGTCAGGAGGATTTATTAGCAACATTTTAAAGATGGTGGTTCAGGGAATGGATATATAATGAAACAATTTAATCTGAAAATAGCCTTCATGCATTCAGGTGGTTTTAACAAGGGCCAATAAGGCACACCTCCTTGAGAAACATTCACATCCATAGGTAGAGACAATGAAGGCATGAAGATATGGCAAGCCTTGAAATGTAAGGGATGTGAGCTTAAAGTAGATGTGGAAAACAACAGTGAACCACTGTAGAGGAAGAGGGCAATATAATGTCATTAGAACTGAGAGAATGTAGAAGCAGATATAAACTGGGAAGTCTCCAGTAAAAAAATTTCAGAATATACTCAGATAATGTCAGAAAATTATATTAGGCTCAGTACTGGTGTAAAGACCACTGAGATTACATATTTGAAATGTTGAATGGAATAGCATAAAGGCATTGTAGATTTATTAAATCAACAGTAAATTAGTAATTTCTATAGTCATACAACTGAGAGGAATGTTATATTCAAAGTGGAAGAAGAATGAGTTAGAAGGAGAGAGAGAGAGACTTTGATAGAAGTTCTGGTAGAAGATAAACTGATAGAAGGAAATAATTAGAAAATATAATCGAGAGAGGAACTTCTTTACACATCATTAGCATGTAATCAAGCACATACAGCTCTGTATTGAATTTGTATTATGCAGACCTAACTAATCTTGACTCAGATAAATCAGTGGTAAAATAAGGATAATTCTGATCACAAAATTACAGTCATTTTTATTAATGGAATGGAGATGCACACACATGAGTCTTGACCAATGGTTCTATTTCCAATTTCAGCTTATAGGTTCTCTCTAACAGCAATCTGCTTCCAGCCATCTCCTGATTCTCTACCAGGAGACACCCAAACCCACCTGAGATCATGGCATGCCACTGCAGGGCTCAGAATAAATGTGGAGTTGTAGCAGCTACTCAATATTGGGAAAATATGAGAGAGGCAATGGAGGCTAGCGGCCAGCAATATTGACTAATCTCTGGGACAAGGAAGCCAACTGACTTTGTCTTTCCCTTTAAACCAGCAAATGGATAATTGTCATGAGAGGAATGCGGGGGGGAGTACAAGAACTCTATGATCAGCTCTGTGGTGCTATAGACAAAGAATAACATGATAATGCCCTGGATTCTAGTGGTCACTTAAGAATTTTGACTCTAGTACTTCTGCATAACAGCCGCACAGTCCTTTCCGGCTTACCCTACTGTAACCCACCAAGTTTTCTCTATGCAAGGCCACAAGTTATAGACTACAAGCATAAAAGCCTGTTTTTTTTCCTTGACTGTGTCAGGTTTCATAGGTAGCATTTTGTTTTATAATGCGAAGGGCTACATTTAGTTTAAGAAGGTTGAGTTGTCAGGATGTCTTTCTGCTAGTCATAGAAGCAGGTGGTAACTCTGTTTTCTGCTGGTGAATTGCAGGTCTAGCAACACAAGGCTAGGATTTATTTTTGTGGAAGAAAGGCGCACATGCAAAGTTTTTTCTATAGGTATTTTGCATATCAATACTTCCTGCACCTAATAAATGGGGGGGGGAGTGTGTCAGTTTGCATTTCTTAGTACAGAAAGTACTAAGATATTATTATTATTATTATTATTATTATTATTATTATTATTATTGACCTGATGTGTAGAGATCTCTCCTATTCTAATTCAAGAAGGTTCTGGAAGCTTCTCTGTGTAAAAGAAGCAAGAAGGAGGTTCGTGATGTTTGGGTTATTCCTTCAGAGAGGCATAGCTGGCTTAAACTGGTTCTGTTATCTCTTTCAGACAAGGCTGTTGCTTAACTCTTCTCCATCTTGATGTTTGGCAGAGCTGCCTAAGGTACAACATGATGTCACAGGCCATTCACATGAGGTTAACGACCTTGCCCTCAGAACGCACAGCTGTGCTCTGCTCCCAGAGCAAAGGCTGGATGAAGCGCCTTGGCCAAGAGAAGGTGGCTAGATATTCTAAAGTGAGGGTCAAGAGATGCTCAGCTGCTGAATCTCAGCATCCCTGGGATGGTAAGGATGTACAGAGACATCATTATCTGAACTGGGGGCAGTGCCATATATATATTACATTACTACTACCAAGGCACAAGTGCATTGTCACAAAGAAAACCATCAATGCTTCAAAATATTGAATTCTGTTTATACTAGTCCGCTCTGAAGCCCTATAGATAATGGGATAAGACTAGGAAAAACCAAAGGGTCCATAGTTACAATGGCAACTAATTTGCAAAACAGGACCGCCACACTAGTGAAATGTGCTGCTCCAGACTTCTGGGTGAGCCTTTCATGAACTGGTATTTTGGGAAGTACAGCAAGGTGGTTGTTAGCATGTAGCTAATTGCACTATATTTCCATAAGCCTTGGATCAGAGAATTAACATGACTGAGGACGGCATATCGTTTCTCTGGACTCACTTCAAAGGAAATGCCTAATTCAATAGCAAAGCATGGTTTGTTTTATTATTAATATGGATGCTGCAGATCATTTTCAAAGAAAGCCGTTTGCACGCTTTGAAAATTAATTATGTTAAGGTTATTATAAACTAAATGTTGGGAGTCCAAACACATGTTTCCAATATACAGATTAATTAAATCTCAATGATTTGTAATATTACATAAAATGACTCTGCGATCGGCAAACTAGCATTTCTTTTCTTTCTTTTTGAAACTACTTTTCCTCCTCCTTGCTTAAAATACCCAATAACATTACAGCAACTATAGTCTTAGTTATGAGTAGTTAAAATCATTAATTTCCATCTGAACATGTATCACATGCTAGTTTAAAAATCAGGGGGGAACCACAAGCCTAACGTAATTAAAATGCAATTCAGAGGACACAGTGGGTGGATGGCTATTTACATGTGAAAGTGCAGAATAAACGAGTCTCATAAATTATGCACGGAAAACCAGCAGAATTTAGGAGATCAAATATATATTTTTTGAAATGAAGCAAGAGCTGCTGGCAGTGGGACTCCATTCTCCCCTCCCAGCAAGCTGACAGAGAGAGAGAGAGAGAGAAACTAGTTCAAGATCTGCTCTGCTCTGACTTTCTTCATTTATAAAATTTTCCTTGCATGATATGGATTTTATCCTGGCATGTCCATCAGAACATTACTCTCCTGTCACTCTGCATGTAGTACAGCTATTCTATTTCAGTAAATGGGCTTGGGGAATGTGATCATAGTTCTGGATCAAATAGGGTGACATGAAGTGTTCCAAAGTAATCCAAATGGTTTTTTTGGTCAACAGAAGTCTTATCATTATCAATCATTTATTAACCCCCTGACCCAAATGAGTATGTGATATACAAAGATTATTTCTTTTAATGCTTTGGAACTTTAAAGCCCTAAACAGTTTGGCTACCAGAAAGACGGCCTTCTTCCATATGAACCTGTGCAAAATTTAAAGATCTGTATCAGGTGCCATCCTCTGTCTGCCTACACTAGCAGATGTTAGGTGGGTAGCAGCTGGAGAGAGGGTATTTCCAATGGTGGTACCACCTTTGCAGAATAACACCTTCTCAATCACTTTGACAGAAGGTTAAATCGTTTTTATTCTCAGACTTTCATAGTAGTTTTTATTGTTGCTTTTAGAGAGCCATGCTCTGATTTAATATTCTTAAATATTAAAATAAGTCTTAACTCTTGCCTATTTTCTGGGATTTTAAGGTCAGTGTTCTTATTTATGTGAATCATTTTGAGCATATTCATTATTAAATATGATAATAACTATGATAATTTAAAAACCTAAGGATTTGATGAGCACTAACTTAATAATACTTGGAAATTCATATTGACTCTCTTTAAGAGACTATCTTTAAGTAGCTATCAAGGCCCCTTACCTTAGAAGGACCGTGGAAAGAGTCACAAGCAAATTGACACACGCTTATTTTAGTCCTTATACATTTGGAAGCATCTGTAAGAGATATTCTTAGAAAATGAAGGAAACAGGAAAAAATCATTCCACTGAACCTGGTTGAACAACAAAACAAAGGTTGCATTCTATTTCTGTCATTTATTAACGAGAACAAAGAAACATTTCATCTTCAGCATTTCAACCGATAGTTGATTGGGGGGGGGGATAAAATATAATTTAAATACAATTTTAAAAATACTACAGAGCATAATATTTTGCATCACTCTCAAACAAAAAAAAAGGGGTCGTCAAAACCATTCACAAGTCATAAACATTTTGAATGCTGTCCTTGATCCTCATGCTATCATTTTGAGCAGTTTTATTAGCCTCGTAAGCATGAGTATTGCTTTTAGCAGGGGTAGCAAGCCAAGGAGAACAATTAAGTTTCTCAGATAGCTGAGACCATTTACGGAGAACCAGACTTGGCTTTGTGGAACGCCACAAATCACAAGCCTGCTTCAAGGATTGTTTTTCAAGCCAAAGCATCTGTGTAGGAAAAGGACAACGTAAAATCGTGATGAGATAGGTTCAAAGTCTCTTCCATTAAATTCCAGTGGATGCTTGGGGTACATCTGCTTAGCAACTACCTGAGTTATTGCTTCAGCACTAAGAGGGAACCATCAAAAAATAAAAAACCAGTAAATGTCTTTCCCTAAGACTGCACTGACACCTGAAAACCAAATGTCCTGATTATTTCGCTCATGAAAGTCCCACAGTGCTATTCTCCATCTGTTACATGTGCCTGCACCACAAGAAGGAAAGTGAGGGGGAAAGAGGGGTATTGATGTGCATTCAATTACCTTCAAAGCCATTATCTAGCTTACATTGTCTTGCATACATATAAAGCCCTGACCCAATGACAGTCAGGGATAAGTACACTTCTTAGGTTATAAAGCACTGCAAAAAGTGCCAGAAGAGGTGCAGGATTAATTTTAGAGTTGTGATGCAACAATGGTGTTCATCTTCTCTCTATGCACACATTCCAGCTTTGACATTCTGTCTCTTCAGAGATATGCGATTTTTCAGCATGTTCCCATGTCTTTTAACTTTATGTGGAAGCTGCTTCAACAGGCCAAATGTTTTCCATTTTCTAAACAGGAAACAGTTCTAGGGAATGAAATTTGACATGTATAAAATGGCTCTCAAGAGCCACTAAAGAGTATAAAATCAACTCCCGGAGGAAAATAAGCTTACATCCCACTGATACACCACATAGTCACAACTTCACTCCCACAGAATTTAGTTAAGAGTTGTTGACAAAGCTAAGGCTGTCACAGGCCCAAAGAGCTATGTCTAACTTTGCCATGGTGGCCTTTCCATGTTTTTCATACTCTTGCTCCGGTGTAGGAGCTTCCCCTTCTGCTGAACATTCACACCATCAGAGCTTTCTATTTTCTGCTTGGAAGATGGGTTGACAGATTCCCTCTCTGTAACAGAAGCATGTTTTAACAAGAGGCTATGGCTGTCTACAGGAAATGTGGATGTTGGTTCAGGCTCAGGCTTGTGTTTTGGAAGTACATTCAAGCCCCTTTCTTCTATTCCATCTGCTCTGTCATCTTCCTGCTTTGGAAAACGCTGGCTGGCTCCCGCTTTCTTCACTTTTTGGTCCCTTAAATTCCGAAGAGTTTCGAAGGCCTGGTCTAGTTCCGTTTGCAAGGTTTCCATTTCACTGGCTGCCTTATCCCGCTGCTCTCCACAGACTTTGAGGGAACGTTCCAAAGACAGGAAGAACTCTTTTCCAAACTTTGACAAGGCCTCATCACCTTAAGGGTAAATTAAAAGAAGGTAGGGAGCTATACTGTACCATTCATTCAACCTAAACAATAGTAAGGCATAAATAAGAAGTTGATTTGAAACTGTTTGTGATAAGATAGTATTTAATGCAGTTCAGTGATCAACTGTATCTTCTCAATGTGCTATTTATCATGAACCTAGAAAAAAATGGCAAGCTAGATCATTACTAGAGAGCCCTCTCAGCTATTAGAAAATCAACAGGTTATAGATGCCTTTCATTATCAAATAAAGCCCCAAATGTGCTTCTGGCATGTGCGAAATTTGAGCTTCCATTGGCGGGATATTGGATATCCCTTGCAACAAAGATGGGGAATCTGTGGCCCTCAGATGTTGTTGGATTCTTCCAACTCATCAGCAAACATGGTATGGGATTATGGGAGTTGTAGTCCAATAACACCTGAGTCAAGGTGAGCCTTACAATTTCCAAACTGTGACTGATACTTTAACTTTGAGGATACTGGCTCACAACATAATAAACTATACATTCACATTCAAACGCACCATATAAGATACATTCATTGGAGTAAAGGATAAAATCAGGAACCAACCAAAGGAGGAACTTCATTTTTATTTTATTTTTTACAAAATCTCATTACTGCTCAAGTCTTGAACTAGGTTGAATGTACTAGATCAGCTATTTTCTACTTAACCTAATGCTGAAAATTAAGGATAAATCAGTGATGCAAGATATCTAAGAGTGGCTCTCTTCCCATGCCTTTTTTTAAAAAAAGAGACAAGACACCAAGACAAGCCTATCAAGTACATCCTTTACCAATCCAAATTGTATAAGTAAGGTTCTTACCTTCATACTGGTGATTCACTGGTGGAGCCAAAGTTTCAACTGCATATTGGATTTGTTCTGCATTGTTCCTAAAAGCAGTGAGGAAGTCTCTCAAAGCTGCCTCTGAAGCTTCTGCTTTAAGTTTTGTATAAGAAGAAAAAACATCTGCAAGGGAAAGTGGGAAATTATCAATTGCTCCCTGGAGACCGGTATTAAAAGTATGAAGCAGCAAGAGAGAGAGAAAATCTTGCATTTGAATTGTTTTCAGGTGTTTGAAACACTAAACATTTGTATTTCATGCCTGTCAGTATTTTGAAATTGTTTTTGTTTATGCTGCTATTACAGACATGTATTTACCTTGTAATGGTGAACATAGAACCATGGCAACATTATCTTGAAATGTGTGGTATGCTTGCTTTATCCCATCAAAGACAGCTTCGGTGTACTTAACTTGAAGATTATACAAATTTCTGTGGAAGTTAAGTTCAGCTTGCAAAGCAAGTATCTAGGAGGGGGGAAAGCAACAAAATGCAATATTAGGCATCAATGAGCCTAATGCATATTGGCTCAATCAGATGTCATGAGATGTCGCATGAACCCATGCAAACCTTAACCATTCTTCTTTCTTGGCATCTACCTGACAAACACCATCGGTGGCTGACTAGCAAGCCAGAATGCAGAAGCATGGTTTCAATCCTGATTTGGACTTGTGCCAATTGCGGTTGATATGACATCTGAAATAATAAACCATGGCTTCAGCCATTTGCTGTGCTTTCTAATACTGCTGTGCTATAGAAAAGGAGTCCTACTAGAAAGGAAAATAAAAGCAGTCAAGCAGCTTTTACTGGTGGTTCCACAGCATGTTCTCCTCCCAACTAACCATCCTCTGCTCTGTCTCCCTGCCTAGTAGCTTTAAGTGTCTTGATCTGATTCACTTAGCAGGTGGGCAACATTAATGCACATACAGTGGAAAGCTTTATAGCAGATAACTGCAGATCAAGCTGATGTCAACCACACAGCTGCAAAGGCCGGTTGAAAGCAATTGGGGGTGGAGTGGGACAGGAAATCGCTGCCCAGCTTGCAGGCTTTGACATGCTGATAGCTTGTACAGAATTCAGCTCTTGTGTCTCCACTGGAGGTAGGTTAAGTATTTGCAGTCCTGAGGAAATTTGAGTTTTACAGAATGCAACTGAAAGTGAAGAAAACTGTAGCAGCATGAGGGAAAGGTCTTGGGGTATGCAACACTCCCAATTCCTTTTCTCTTTCTTTCTTTCTTTCTTTCTTTCTTTCTTTCTCTCTCTCTCGTGCACACACACACAAAAATGCCGACTTTTTATTTTCTGATATTTTTGCCAGTGCAGAACCACCTGTTGAATGTCCACCTGTTATAGAAACATTGAATAGTAAGGACACTGATTAACAAGACCACATTGCCACAACAGGCTGGGAATTTCTATTCTGTGAAGTGTAAGCACCGCATACTGTGTTTGACCGTGCAAAGCACACCTGATGGCTGTGACTGTTTCTGAACAGCACAATCAATGAAATTGAGTGCGAAAATTGGTAGAGACATCAAAGACTCAATTCCTACAAGTATGTGCCAAACACACATTGCTGGGAATTTTTTCCCCATAGCACAAAATGTCCACAATGAAAGAATATACATTATGAATTGTGCAGATGAGATTTATTCTCCCAGCCCAAGGAAGAGGCAAATGCAAAGAGTCTGCTATTAAGAAAGTAAAGAGAGGAACTGTCAAAAAACCATCCATACCGTTTGAAGTTCCTTATTGAGAATGTGGAGGACACCAAGGGAAAGGGCAATTTACTACTAATCTTCCCAAAAAACCACCCTACTTGCCAACTGCCCAGTACTCTTCCTTCAGACGAAGGACATGTCTCTGAACTGCTAGGTATGTTTTGGAGATACGCACAGTCACCTTCTCTCATTTCCTGTAGCCACATCACAGAAGTATATCCTCAGGGTGACTATCTCATGAGCTAGTAGGCAGTGATAGTAATCAAACTCTTAAAAGAGTTAGTTGTACCTTTGACAAATGTCTCTGATCCTCAAACATGGCAATATTGTTAAGAAAAACAACAAAAATAATGAAATATAGAAAGAAGTTTTGAGTATTTTTCTAGTAAAAAATCATAATCAGTGAATACAACATTTATATGAAGTTTTTAAATGGCACCCTTTATAGACTGCTTTACAGGTTGCAAAACAGGCTTATGCAGCAAGAATCTGTTTCTATTCTAAGAAATAATCTTTGCAACACTTCCCCGTTTCATGCTCCAGTTTGTACAGCTGAGGGGAAAGAGAGCCAAGAACTACAACAAAAACAAATTTATACTTTTTTAAAGTACAAATTATTGCATGACATTTTTTCATGCATTAATTTTTGGCCATGTTTTCCCTGATAATGCTTTTCATGATGCACAAGGCATAAGATTAACAAAGTTCTTGCCCCCCAGATAATGAATGTACTGGGAAAATATGAATATTTTACTTTTTATGTGGTTTGCTACCTTTACACTATTACTGCAACATCAAGTAGCAGGAGATAAGTGAAGTACAACAAAGGCATATTTTTGAGGAAACTCATTAAATGGTCACTTCCTTGCCCCCCGAGGGAATCCAATAGCCCACAGAAACATAAATATTATGAAATGGGCCTTAGATAATTTTAACTTCCAAGATTTTTGGCCATCTGTAGCAAGAAGTACTGAGCTAGCTGCCAGATCATCTTAGTGACCTAATGTACTTTCCCAGGCACAAGATCAAATCGTTCCAAGATGAGCTGATTGAAAATGAACAAAGAGCAGCAGATTGGCTGTTCTGCTAGAAATCCCAAGGGAGCAGGCTGGCCCTTAAAGATACTGCTCCACCAGGTGTCTTCTTCTCTAGACTCTGGCTGTTATGTCTCACTATAGTGTTGCGGGGGCAGAAATGAAATTAAACCAGAAGATGGTCTACTTGAGCAACCTCTTGCACAAGCAGAAGCTAACGATAAGCAGTAGAACCTACCCTCCATAACACTGTGTAAGCTCTTGTTCTTCCACTCAGAGTTCTTTGGGTCCAGCTAGCTGTCACTTACATTAAATCTTTCCAGTTATTACATAGTGCTGTAATAACTGCAGCTCAATGCTCTCAGGCAACTCAGTGGCTAGAGAGCTGGGTTTAAAATTGTGAGTGCTTTGTCCAAAGTTCTCTCTCTAGTTATGGACCTGCTGCATTTTTGGTCACTCTTGGCCTCAGTTCATCTTGTGTAGGATGGGATTTATTGAATCTTTGTGTAGAATGTAGAGTGTAACAGAAAAAGCAAATGTGATGTGCAAATTAAATTATTAGAAGCTGTTGTAGTATTACAAAGGTTAACTAAGTAACAAGCCAATGACTCGACTTGTTCAGGCAAGGTCTGACAAGCTAATGCTTTATGAGACTCCAGCTACTTCAGCATAGTTTTAAATATTCCTACCCTGCTTTCTTCCTATACTCAAAGAAACATGGCATCCCCATTAATCAAAACTTGTCTCCCTTGAAGACTACAAGGAGTTGCCTTATACCAAGTGAGAGCACTGTTCTATCTACCTCAGTAACTGTCAGGGGTTCAGGAGCAGAGGGACAGGAGAGGGAGGAAGTTGAGACCGAGGGAGAGGAATCCGAGGGAGAGGTCAGCGAGGATAGCCGTCCGAGGTCTCTAAGTCTCTCCAGCGAATCAGAGGATTCACAGAAAGGGGCTCCCGTGGTCAGAGCTAGGGGGTTGCCAGAGGGAACACCCCAGGAAGGAGGGGCCAGAGGGGACTCAGAGAGCAGCAGCTGGAAATCGGGACCAGCTTCCCCACCGGAGAGCAGTAAGGGGGAGGAGTCCCAAGCATCGGCAGCAGGCAGCTTTCCGTCAGCGGAAGGACATGAGTCAGGGTTAGCCACGCCTGCATCAGAGAGCGAGGAAACGGTCAAAAGGAAGGTCAGGGGCAGCGCGCGCGCGCCAAGTTCAAATGTACAAGAGGGTGGCGCGATGAGCAGCCCGGAAAGGGAGCCGGGTCCCAAAGCCCGTCGAAGAGAGGGGGAGGAGTCCGAAGGGTCCGCTTCCGAAGCGTCCAGGAAAGAAGGCACTCAGGGGGGTAGTAGGACCCAGAGGCGGAAGGAGAAACGAAGAAGGTGGAGTAAGGCTAGAGTCTTAAACTGGTGTACAGGGGGCGGAGACTCAGACGAGGCTTCGCTGGTCTAGGGTCTAGACGTAGAGACGCACGCTAGGGTTTGAAAATGGGAACTAAACTTCAATAAAGACTTTGTACAGTTCTGCTGGCTAGCGTTGGTCTTCTGTGAGCTGAGACCTGGGGGCCGTCTCTGACAGTAAGCCTCGTCTCACAGTTTCATCGGTTTTCTTCGCCTCAAGCATCGCTGCGGGAGCGAGGCAGGGAGGGCAGAAGACTGGTGCCTTGCGAGCTCACAAGAGTCAGGCGAGATGACTACAGAACAGAAAATAGCTTCCCTGCAAGAAGCGGTGACACAGCTCAGCGCTGAAATAATCGCATCCAGGAAGAGGGAGGAAGAAGCGGCAGCTGCCTGCAGAGATATTCAAGCCAGGTTGGAAGGGCTTGTGAAGCAGGGGCTACCGGGACCCAGATCCGAGGGAATTGGGCTGGGGAAGAGAGGAGGCAGCATTGTATCTCATTTTGATGGGAATTTGCAGCAGTACCCCAATTTCCGAGCAGATGTGCTTTTTGCGCTGCAGCTGCTGGATAGAGACTTTAGAGATGAGCGGGAGAAAGTGGGGTTTATTTTGTCTCATCTGCATGGGGACGCGAAGGCATGGCTGCGCAATCTGTGGAGGGATAATGATCCAGCGCTCCAAAGCGCAGATGCATTCATTAAAGCAATGGACTCCTGTTTCTTATCCAACATAGACATTGACATTGCCCGGAGAGACATATTTGGGCTAAGACAAGGGAAAGCCAGCGTAAGGCAGTATCATTCCCGGTTTTTTGCATTGGTCAACGCGCTGAATTGGGATAAGGATTCTCCGCCAGTTAGAGACCTTTTTTTGGAGGGATTGAACCCACAAATCAAGGATGAGATGGCACGGGGAGAGAGACCCACAACCACTCAGCAAGTGGTTGAAAGAGCGCTGTCGATTGGGGTGAGGCAGGAGGAACGCCCATGGAGCAAAGAAGAAGGGCGTTGGGGACGCACACCAGCGAGAGTGCCCTCCCTCTTGGCTAGAGAGGCAGCGCGTGCGCAGTCCACGCCTCCACAGGGAGGGGGCGACGAGCAGATGGAGATTGGCGGTGCTAGGGCTCACTCAGCTACCAGAGCCTTAACACCGGGAGCAGTAAAACCGAAGCTGCCTAGAAGGAACAGGAAGTGCTATATATGTGAGAGTGAAGAGCACATGGCGAAAGAGTGTCCCCAGAGGATCCACAAGCACACTGCAGCTTCAGTGACAGTATTGGAAACAACTCAGCAGAGAGAGACACAGCAGGGAAACGACCAAGTCT